TCTAAATACCTATGATTTACTGTAACCCAAAGCACTCTTGGTGTCTGTGTCAGAAGAGAAACCACCTGGTTTAGAAAGCCTCTTAAAGCATTGACTTGCTGTACAGCAATGCCTGCCACAAAACAACTTGACAATTGCATTTAATCATGGTAAAATCCTAGGTTATGGCTCTACATCTATAACCTGATTGTCTTACTGTCAGGCAGTTGTTAGAATTTCAATGTAACAACTGCTATGACCTATGTGTACTACTCTGCCAAAAGAAATGCATGTCTCAACTCACTCCTCACTGAAGGAAAGTGTCTTTTTTCTGACGGTGAAGGCTTGAATTATCATATTGACACCAATTGGTGCCGTTAATTCCACTTTCTCATTGAGTGCCAAGAATCAGCACAGTTCTTGGCCTGCATGGGAGTTAAAGATACTCAGCACAATAAAGCCTAGCATTGCAAATATTTATATTTAACCTCAAAGTAACACTGTAAGATTCTAACATGCTTTGAGGCTTTTGGTAAAGTACAGCATCCTAAACAACCGGGCCATTTGTTTCACACACAGCAGCATGGCCAGATGATTGACCTGATGATATGTGGCAAGGTGAGCGAATGCTGCCAGGCAAGTTAGTTATTTAATTTAAAATAATGGTAAATAAACATGGCTTAAGCCTCTTTTACTGTTTTTAGTATATAGGCATTTTCTCATTATAATGTACGGAACAGGATTAGGGGCACTGAAAAAAAAAAAAAGTTAACTGATTTTAAAATATTATGTCAGTCTAATATGGTAAAGAGTCAGAATTCCGACTTTAATCTCAGAATTTCTGCATTTTTTCTCAGAATTCTGACTTTAATCTCAGAATTTCTGCATTTTTTCTCAGAATTCTGACTTTAATCTCAGAATTCTGACTTTAATTTCAGAATTCTGACAGCTAACAAACATGTTAGCATCAAGCCGTAGCCATGTCTGTTTTAGAGACTAGCTCTCGTGTTTAAATGACCTTCTGCTCCTCCATGAATGAAATAGCATCACCGGGGACCTCTCGGGCACGTAAAAAGTTGCCTAATTCCTTCATTTTCCCCCAATGTGTTACTGTTCCTCCAAAACAACTCAAATCTTTGTCAGTGAAGCCGAGTGCTTCCACATATCTACCTTTGGGGTGCCCTTCTACATTAAGATCCAACATTTTGAGATTAAAGTCAGAATTCTGAGAAAAAAAGTCAGAATTCTAAACTTAAAGTCATAATTCTGAGACGAAAGTCATGTTATACTCAAATAAAAAAAAATCAGTTAACTTTTTTTGTTTTTTCAGTGGCCCTAATCCTCTCCCGTAATAATGAACATATTTATTATCTTAAAAATTAGCATGAGAATAATTGGTCAAGTGGGCATGGGGACAAATCTAGATGGTCTATAGGGAGGCCAGACTTTACGCTACCCTCCTGATGGTTCATGCAAAAATGGGTAACAAATCATATCACAAGGGCGCAAAGCTATGTGAGATTACTTTATGTATAATGACTTTGTTTTATATGCTTTTTAGAGTCCAAATAAGCCATTGTTACGAATATATTGTAAAGACAGACCGATACATTGGCCAGCCAATATTTTCAGCCCATATTTGCATTTTTTGGGGAAAATTGTTTTTATAAAACAATTGGGCATCAATTTAAGGAAATCACCACCCAATATAAATCTTTAAGTATGTAAATCAGTTAAAATAAGATAACACCAAAACTGTCTGGGTTATGGCTATTGTGAAAAAAAAAACGACAATGATTTAAGTTCCAGTAGTTTTTTTCCTTGTAAAAGTGGGGGCGGAGCTTTTGTTTATCTCTTGAGCTGGAAGCAGTAAACGGGATGACGTTTCTGCTGTTTCTTCAGACGTGATCTGGGGGAGTAGCTGTTTCCATCCTTTCCTCACCTCTCCTCTTTCACCTGCTTTAAACAGATTAGTAAATCACCAGATATATTTGTATTCAACCAAGAATTAGTTTAGTTTGTCATGGTTTTGGTTCTGTTGTTCTTTACTTTGCTCCTTGTTTTCTAGATTTATTGGTTTAATTCCAGTTTTGTTGTAATTTCTAGATTTATGTTAGTTCTCATGCTTTTCTGTTGTCCTCTGTTGCCCTCTTGTGTGTTCCTTTCCCCTTGGCTCCCTAGTTGTCTCCTCACACCTGCTCCTTGTCAGCTCGTTAACCCTTCCATTGTCTCAGGCCCCATCCACACGAAATCAAAACGAACACCAAACGCTAATATTTTCCAGAACGTTTGTCGTAAAGACGGAGACATAAAATAAATGTGATCGACCACACGAATGCATGAAAACGCTGCAAAATGTATGCCAGGCCTGTAAGTGGCGCTGTGGTGCCAAAGCAAAAATAGGCGAAAACAGGCAACGAAATGTTGGGCATGCGCAGTAATATTTATACAACAACCAAACCGGAAAACCCCTGCGGGTCCATTTTCGTGGTTCAGTCAAATTCAGGTGCTGAACTATGTCGTCGATATTGCTCTGTTCTTCCTGGAGATATTCCAGAAGAAGAAGATTCTGTTGTAAGCCCGACAGCAGGGCGAGTAGCATGAGCAGCAACCATTCAACACAGTACGGCGCCATTGTTGTTGAGATACTGTGTCGCGCATGCGTGTTTAGAGGCGACGCTATGACGCATGTGTGTAAGAAAAAAAATGCGGTTAGAGCTTAAAGATGACCGCGAAAACGGTGTTTCAAAATCTTCCCACTCTGAAGGCTGAATAAAAAAAAGATCGTTTACAGACCCCCGAAACGCCGGCTTCGTGTGGATGAGAGGCTGGTTTGGTGAAAAATTTGTGTGTTTAGGCCAGGGTTTGACTTCGTGTGGACGGGGCCTCAGTCGGCTACATATACTCTTCCTCTGCTGTCACTCCTTGTTGGCTCCTTGTCTTTCCTCCCATGCTGTGGTCTATGTTTCTCGTCTCTCCCTGGCTCCTCGTGTTTGGTTTTCCCCAGATGTCTCCATAGTTCTGGTTTGTTTTTTTATTATTATTTGGATTTTTGCATTCTTGCCTTGTTTACTTTTTTGCCCCATTAAACTGCAAGAAATCTCCTCAGCCTCTCTGCCTCTGCATTTGGGTCCTCAAACCACAACTAAACCCTGACATAGTTTGTTTTGTGTGTATATTTCATGTTGTTTGTGTCGGTATAAAATGACTTAAAAGTGGCTTTTGGAAGCACATTTTCCCGAGCGGCTGCCGTTTGGTATTGCATGAGTCAATCTAAACAGTTGTTGGGTTTATTTTGGAAACTCCTGAGGAAATGCTTTAGCTTTTAATAATAAGGTTGTAAATGCATTTATGGAGAAATAAGCATTTTATTGGTATTTCACACTGGTTTTGTGATTTTTTTTGTTTAATTCTGAAATGTTTATTCGGAAATGTTTAGTGTTAACGTAAGCATATTCCATGCTGCCTTTTTCAAAGATCTGTAAACTTTACAACAGCTTAACTTTGTATTAGTTTGGCATGCACATTTCTTGTGGAGGTAATACTTCATTAAGAGTTTTGAACCAGTAGAAGGCTATGATATAAAATGGAGTGACTTTATTCACAAAGACTGTTAATGTAAATACATGATTATACAGATGTGTTCATCTCAGGAATATAAGTGACCAAGAAGATTTTTTAACATAAATGTGATACTGAGGGTGGTTTAAAGGACTTTTACAACTGAATTGAGGAACTGAGTGAGCAAAGTTTTAATGAACTTAAGAAAAAATACAGCATTGCTTGTGACAAGATAATCTTCAATAAAAAATATGTGATCTGGGAGAGAAACATTATCAATCCTTTCCTCACTTCTCCTCTTTCACCTGCTTTAAACAGGTAACATATTTGTTAATGTGGTCATCATACTTGTATGGAGGATAAAAAGTGCCAAAATTAAATAAATAAATACAGCATTAAATAAATAATTAAATGTGTCAATAATTAATTAAATGTGGAATTAAATAAATAAATAAATGTGTCATTCATTTAATAAAATAAGTTTTCATTTTATAAAAAAAAAATATATAATTATTTCAGTGTGCATTTAATTATTTCACGGTCGTGTGTCGCAGTGTTATCTAACACCTGATTGGTCACCCTGCACATTAAGGCGAAGCAAATCGATTACAGAGACTCCATTCGCGTTAACCCCGCCCCCTTACTTTGATGAGTTTGACAGATTCTTTTAATGGTTTCGATGCACTGCGACACAGAACCATGAAATAATTAAATCCACACTGAAATAATTATATATATATATTTTTAAATAAAATTAAGACGTATTTTATTAAATTAATGACACATTTATATATTTAATTCCTTAATTCCCTGAATTACACATTTAATTTATTGTTTATCGCTGTATTTATTTATTTAATTGTGGCACTTTATATTAACGAAGTGGTTTTAATTAATGAATGACACATTTATTTATTTATTCCACATTTAATTAATTATTGACACATTTAATTATTTATTTAATGCTTTATTTATTTAATTTTGGCACTTTTTATTCTCCATAACTTTGAGACCCGTAACATTATATTCTGTTTAACTTGCCCTACTGGGAGCAGTCACCTGAACAAAGACGAGACCTCGTCCTGGTAAACCTTTAGTCCCCGTAAAATTGTCAGTGAAAGGAAGTTGTTTCCAATCTCACATCAATCAATCAACAAAAATGTTTCTATATAGAATCAATTCACAAAATGTCTTCTTGAGGAGACAGAGACGGACAAAGGGTGCATAGAAGCACAGATCCAGGACCACTAATTAAGGGGAGAAGGATGTGATAGTAAATTAGTGGGACTGCTCCTGTTGACTTCAGTGAAATCAAAACAATCATTGGCCATGTACACAAGCTCCACATTGACAGTTCTACAGTGCATATCTATGGTGTAGCTTTTGCTGGAAGCTTTACCATCTCTGTCACATACAAGAGCAGGATGACTCCTGCAGAGTCTGCTGACTCTAGGCCTCATTTGAATAACAACATACAGCTAAAGCAGAGTCCCTCATGAGTATATAATCAAAGTTAACTGTTTGGCTTTTGACAGCAGCCATCATGGGAAAGGTTTGTGTTTGTCTCTTTCACTTTATTGCATGTAGGGTTAATGCTGATGGAAGGCTCCCTTCTGCTCCATCAGATCATTTTCTATGAGGACAGAAATTTTGGAGGCCATCACTATGAGTGCATGAACGACTGCGCCGACCTCCACTCAATGTTTGACCACTGCCGCTCCATACGCGTGGAAAGCGGCATGTTCATGATCTACAACCAGCCCGGGTTCACAGGGAACCAGTTCTTCATGAGAACGGGAGAGTATTCTGATTACATGGGAATGACTGGAATGAACGACTGTGTACGGTCATGTCGCATGATTCCTTCGGTAAGCAGTTTTACAACTAGGAGGGTTATAGAAGTGTTCACTATGTATTGATCTTGATGGACAGTAACTAGAAAACTGCAAAAAGTTAGCTTTATCATTCTCTCATATACACACACACACACACACACACACACACACACACACACACACACACACACACACACACACACACACACACACACACACACACACACACACACACACACATATATATATATATTGGCTTCTGAATAAAAAAATGGACATGGTCAATGGAAACAATACCAGTCAAAAAGTGGTCAAAGTGGTGAAGAATGACCTTCCAGATACAAACCGATGATATGGTTGGGGCCAACCAACCCAAAAATGTGATCATTGATGAGCAGCAAAGGACGGCTATCAAGACAAAAGGTGGAGAAATTGGAAAAGTACCAAGGACTGAGGGAAGAATTAGAGACTGCTTGGCAGGTAAGGGGCAAGTGTAGTGCCCACGGTAAATGGAACACTAGGGGCAGTAACCCCTACACTGTAAAGTGGCTCCAACAGATACCGGGAGCAACTTCAGACATCTCGGTCCAGGAATGCCCAGTTCTAGAGACAGATAAGATACTGCGAAGGACCCTTAAGCTCCCTTAGGTAGAGGACCCAAGCTTGAAATGGAGAATACTTTCCTAAAGTTGCTCATAATTTTAAGCACCTTAACACTACGCCATGTCGGATTTCTTATGTAGACACTACAAATAGTAAGAACATAGTGACGGTCATGTTAATTGATGACACATATCACTTTAAAAAAAAAATCTATCCTGAAACTGGGTTAATATTATTGAAATAAGCAATTGTTTGCTTTTAATGTAAAAAAAAAAACATCTTGCTGCTGTCACTTTTGTGTCTGTGTTAGACTATGGTTACCTTTTATATTTGTGTACTTTTGCCCCAGTGACAGCTTATCACTCTGCTCTGACACTTATAGTGGATTTCTAACCTGTTGCATTATTGGCATTATGGGTCTGCCTCAAACGCTGTTATTGGACAAGTCTGTTTTAGACTGGAAAGAGCCTTTAACAGACTGACTTTATGTCCAATGTAGGTGAGTCTGACTACCCAGACAACCAATAAGTACTCTTTCCATTTCATTATTCCTTTCTTAACCTAAATGTTTAGACTGAACCTTAAATAAATCCCTTTGTCTCCCCCTCCCCCACAATGTAGAACACACTTTAAAAATCTTGCAGCTTGATAGCTTCATCTCCCTGACTGATATTAAAGATGCATGTATGGACATAGAGGTGTTGTTTGTAAAGTGTCCAACATTTTAAAAACATGTTAACTTTGTTCGTGGATTTGATATTTATGAAAATTTCCGACTTTTTATTTTCTCTCCAGAAGCTTTTTAATTTCAGTGACTTTCAAAACTTGACTGAACATATTTAGGTCAAAGGTTCTATTTGTATTTTCCGTCTTATGTTGCCCAGGGATTGATTGACAGACCTGTTCAGGGTATGCCCTACCAACTGATAGACAAAGTTCTACTTTGCAACTGACAATAATGAAACCTCAAGTATAAATGGATGAATAGGCCAAAATGTGAATGTTGTCAGTTAAGTTTATGTGTTTTTGAAAGAAGAACTGGATGCTATCAGCAATTCTAACAACCATTTAATGGTCTCTAACCTTTAGGTATAATAAAATTAAACATTATCAGATTTAGGATTTTTGATGTTAATGACTCCACCATTCACACTCTCCCAGCACAGAGGCAACTTCATGATGCAACTGTATGAGCACTTCGACATGGAAGGTGATATGATGGAGCTCACGGAAGACTGCTCAAACCTTACAGGTCGCTTCCACATCACCAACTTCAACTCATGTAACGTCCTTGATGGCCACTGGCTGGCCTACGAGCAGCCCAACTACAGGGGGCGCCACTACTACTTAAGGCCTGGTCAGTACAGGAGCTTTACTGAATGGAATGGAATGAACTCCAGGATTGGCTCCATTAGACGACTCATTGATCAGTAAGGACAGGACAGGGCTCTTCACGAAATGCCAATGCATTGACCTGTTTCACGCGCTTAATAAAAAGACATCAGTGCACAAGTGGGTTTAGCTTTGTTCATTTAAAGGCTGTCTTCCTCCAGGAAGATCTAAGATGGTCTAAAAAGCTGACTCACATCAGAGGTCTAAATAAAATGTCAACACCAACTTTTATCATGTTCTGAAGTATCATCTACATACTGTTTATATCTTCAGTCGATATTCTCCAATCTCCTAATTTGCTGTTACTGAGAAAGATAGATGATTGAAAGGCTGGGGGATAAGGAGACAGAAGCAGACATAAAGAAAGTCACAGAAATACAAAAGGCAAATGTAAACCAGCTCCACAGGCGGCCCCGTCCAGGAAACACACAGCCAGGCAGACGAGCTCTGAGCCAGCTCCCATGTCAGAGGATGAAGAGAGCACATCCAGTTAGTCACAGTCAGAGAAACAGGACTACACTGAAAAACAGGCGAAACTCTTACATCTATAAACAGTGGGGTAGCACTAACTGACTGTCTTGGTTCTTGTGCTCTCTCTGCTAGACTTAATGCTACGAGTTCCCGCTGCCCCTGTCTGAGATCCAGAAGGTTATATACCTTTACTTCTATTGTTTGGGTAGTCTGCCCTTAAAATGTGGTAGTTTCAGGTCCCAAACAGAAGGTCAGCAGAAAGCAGCTGGGATCGAGCAATAGCTACTGGATTCCCAGGACAGGTAGCATGTCCTGGGACATGTTGAGGTAAAGCCAATAACCAGCAAACACGTTGACGAGTCTTAACCTTTTCCCTATCTTGCTTATTCATGTCGTTTGCCAATTTAGGGAAATGTCTGGTGAGCAAAAGCATCAGAAAGAGTTCTTCTTTTCGCTGTTTTTGAATCTGTTGTCGAAGTACCTATGTGTGACCAAAAGGAGAAGAATAAATCTCATTTTGGTGACCAATTACCATATGTATATATATATATATATATATATATATATATATATATATATATATATATATATATATATATATATATATATATATATATCAAAAACATATGAATGTGAGGAGTGGGACACAAACACCACTGATTCCAGGCTTCAACAACATGAATGCCATATGCAGAGTCAACTATTCACATTCAGGTCAGGGTCCTCAAAGGGGAGCATTTATCACAGAGGTGGCCATGTTCAGGCGGGACAGGAAAAGCGGCAAACATGGGAAAGGTAAAAAAAAAGAAAAGAAAAAGAAATTGGTTACAAACTGCAGTTTTACTCCAGTGATTTTTTTCTCAACATCTAGATTATCTTCTATGATGATAAAGATTTCTCTGGGCACCATTTTGAGTGCTCCAAAGACTGTTCAGACCTGCTAAGCAACCTGAGTCAATGCAACTCCATCAGGGTGGAGAGTGGATGCTTTATGATTTATGAAAAACCCAATTACACTGGGAACCAGTACTACCTGAAGAAAGGAGAATATCCCGACTTTCACCACTGGATGGGTGTCAACAACTCGGTTGGTTCCTGTCACCACATCGACACGGTGAGCTGCTGTTTGAGGAGAAAGCTACGGAAGCGTATTGCTGTCACTTGAAAAAATAAATTTTTGCTCATTATATTGTATAAACGTGATAATTATATTGTATAAACGTGATAGTATATTGTATACACGTGATAATTATATTGTATAAACGTGATAGTATATTGTATAAACGTGATAGTTATATTGTATAGACGTGATAGTATATTGTATAAACGTGATAATTATATTGTATAAACGTGATAGTATATTGTATAAACATAATAGTTATATTGTATAAACGTGATAATTATATTGTATAAACGTGATAGTATATTGTATAAACGTGATAGTATATTGTATAAACATAATAGTTATATTGTATAAACGTGATAATTATATTGTATAAACGTGATAGTATATTGTATAAACGTGATAGTATATTGTATAAACGTAATAGTATATTGTATAAACGTGATATTTATATTGTATAAACGTGATAGTATATTGTATAAACGT